TTTCTGGGGAAAAATCTTTGCAGCAGATGTTTCACCATAAAACAAATATTTCGGCATCTGTTTCATGTTTTGACAAGTAAGTATTACCTTTCCATCCAGAGCCGGGAGCTGGATCTGCTGCAAAGACTCTTTCCACTGTTAAGATATTGATAAAAGTATCCATGATGTTTTTTAGCAGAGATTTAAAGACACCATTAGTAGCTGGGGTAAATGGAAGTAAGGCAAATTGTAGTCTGCATGATAACATTGAAAGGGGAGAAAAATCCTCATTTTCTGCTTTCCGTGAATAAAAGAACTTTGCAAGAAAACACCATGTCATGTAGAAGCTGCACAGCAAATAGTCAAGCTTTTTGGTCACTGGAAAAGAATGCTACCTCCTTTTTACCTGTAAAGAGATAAGCTACCAAAGTAAACTGCAGAATTTTATTAAGAGCTACAGAGATCAGTCTTACAGATTTTAAAGCACTGAAAAAAACACACTTAAATCCTACGGGTTTTTACTATTTCTTCTTGACTGTTACGAGTCAACCATCTTTTTGTGTGCACGTATTAAACGTGTTAAGAGGAAAATCAGTTTAATAATCACTTTAAGAAATTGATTTATGGTTCATAACTTCCACTTTACAGCAAATGAGAAGGGGATCCCAGTCCTTGATTGTAAAGCCTTGACAGCAAAAAGATTTTTGCAATAGCACTAGAGGACAAGATTTTCAACCATTTCGCTTTGCTTCACTGGTTGAAGCATGGGTTACTGCCCACTTTGGGAAATCAAGCTGTGAGGCTCAGGAGAAGTGTTGTCTTTTAATCAAGGGACCAGGGCAGTAGCTGCCAGGGAAGGGAAGATCTCTTTAAGGTACAGGAGAGGTTTGACACAAGAACAAATATGTTAATTGACCCTGAATAAATGTAGATTGGAGAGTAGGAGCTTTGTACTGTCAGAGAAATCATAGAATCATAGAGTCATAGAATCATAGGATAGTTTGGGCAGGAAGGGACCTTTAAAGGTCATCTAGTCCAACCCCCCTGCAATGAGCAGGGACATCTTCAAGTAAATCAGGTTGCTCAGAGCAACCTGACCTTGAATGGCTCCAGGGATGGGGCATCTACCACCGTTCTGGGCAACCCGTGCCAGTGTTTCACCACCCTCATTGTCAAAAATTTCTAACTTATATCTAGTTTGAATCTACCCTCTTTTAGTTTAAAACCATTACCTCTTGTCCTATTGCAACAGGACATGTTAAAATGTCTGTCCCCATCTTTCTAAGCACCCTTTTAAGTACTGGAAGGCTGCAATAAGGTCTCCCCGGAGCCTTCTCTTCTCTAGGCTGAACAACCCCAACTCCCTCAGCCTTTCCTCACAGGAGAGGTGTTCCAGCCCTCTGATCATCTTCGTGGCCTTCCTCTGCACCTGCTCAACAGGTCCATGTCTTTCCTGTGCTGAGGGCTCCAGAGCTGGACACAGGACTCCAGGTGGGGTCTCACCAGAGCGGAGTGGAGGGACAGAATCACCTCCCTCAACCTGTTGGCCATGCTGCTTTGGATGCAGCCCAGGATACGGTTGTCCTTCTGGGCTGCAAGCACACATTGCCGGCTCATGTCCACCTTTTCATCCACCAGTACTCCGAAGTCCTTCTCAGCAGGCCTGCTCTCAATCCCTTCATCCCCCAGACTGGATTGACACTGGGGGTTGCCCCGACCCAGGTGCAGGACCCTGCACTTGGCCTTGTTGAACCTCATGAGGCTCATTACAGGCCCATTCCTTGAGCTTGTCCAGGTCTCTCTGGATGGTGTCTTGTCCCTCAGGTGTGTCAACCGCACCACTCAGCTTGGTGGCATCTGCAAACTGCCTGAGAATGCACTCAAGCCCACTGTCTTTGTCATTGATGAAGATATTAAACAGTACTGGTCCCAGTGTGGGCCCCAGAGGAACACCACTCATCACCAATCTCCATCTGGACATTGAGCCATGATAATGCTCTGGATGCAACCATCCAACCAATTCCTCATCCACCAAAGAGTCCACCCATCAAATCCCTCTCTCAATTAGGATGTAGTGGGGGACCTTGTCAAAGGCCTTACAGAAGTCCACATAGATGACACTGGTAGCTCTTCCCTTGTCCACTGATGTGGTCACTCCATCATAGAAGGCCACTAGGTCAGGCAGGACTTACCCTTGGTGAAGCCATGCTGGCTGTCTCAAATCACCTCCCTACCCTCCATGTGCCTTAGCATAGCTTCTAGGAGGATCTGTTCCATGATCTGCACAGGCACAGAGGTGAGGCTGACAGGTCAGTAGTTCCCAGGGTCCTCCTTTCCACCCTTTTTAAAAATGGGTGCAATGTTTCCCTTTTTCTAGTCTCCAAGGACTTCACCTGATTGCCCCAACTTTTCAAATGTCACGGAGAGTGGCTTGGCAACTACACCAGCCAATGCCCTCAGGACTCTGGGATGCATCTTGTCAGGTCGCATAGACTTGTGCATGTTCAGGCTCCTCAGGTGGTCTCGAACCTGATCTTCTCTTACAGTGGGAGGGACTTTGTTCCCCCAGTCGCTGTCTTGCAGTCCATCTCTTCGAGAGGGGTGGGAAGAGAGATTGCCAGTGAAGACTGAGACAAAGAAGTCGCTGAGTACCTCAGCCTTCTCCTCATCTGTCTGCCAGTCTGCCAGTCTTGCTCATCAAGGAGGGTACGCTTTCTTTGACCTTCCTTTTCTGGCTGACATATCTGTAGAAACCCTGATTATTCTTCTTTGCATCCCTCGCCAAGTTCAGCTCCAGCCACACCTTGGCCTTCCTGATCCCATGACTACACAACCAGGCAGCGTCCCTGTGCTCTTCCCAGGATACCTGTCCCTGCTTCCACTGCCTGTGCATTTCCTTCTTGCCCTTTAGTTTGACCAGCAGGTCTTAGCTCAACCATGCTGGCCTCTTGCCTTCCTTTCCTGATTTCTTACACCTGGGGATTGAGACCTCTTGTGCTCTTTGGAAAGTGTCCTTGAAGACCTGCCAGCTCTGTTCTGCTCCCTTGTCCCTGAGGGCAGTTTCCCAAGGTGTCCTCTTGATTAACTCCCTGAAGAGCTGAAAGTTTTCTTTCCTAAAATTCAGGGTCCTGACTTTACTCTTCGCCTTACCCATATACCTCAGGACTGAGAACTGCATGATCACTGCAGCCTAGGCTGCCTCTAGTCTTGACATCACCAATTAGCCCACTTGCGTTGGTGACCAACAGGTCCAGTGTCCTATCCCCTCTGGTAGGGTTGTGTATTACCTGCCACAGGTAGTTATCCTCCATGTACTCCAGGAGTATCCTGGATTGCCTACAGCTTGCCATGCTACTTTTCCAACAGATGTCAAGCCCAATTCTGGCTCAGTCTTCCAATAGGAACCATGGTGGTATGAGAAAACTTCCAACCTCAAGGACATTTAGGACAAAGATGCTCATGGCAATGTCTCAGTAAAATGTCTGCTGGGATTAAAAGCACCAGCAGTGGCAGGTCTGTCTGTCTGTGCTTCTCCTTGAACCGTGCTGTAATTGAAAGTTTTTTGAAGGTCACCTGGATATAGCAATAAATTCAAATTCTGGTTTGATGTGATTATATTTTCCCATTGCACATCTGTATCTGACCATGATTGGTGAGTGAGTCAGGATGCCCCACACTCTGTGCCATGTGTTGCCATTGTAACATTCCTG